CGTCCCTGGATGCAATCTGTCTGCATCCAGAGTCGGACATCTTTCCCTCCCTAGCCGCAGGTAACCGCTGGATGTGTGGATAGTGCGGACAGCTGCAGCTCCTGTCATTGCTTTGTATAGGCTGACCGTCTAGACCAGTGTTTTTCAACCTGTTTTGAGTTGCGGCACACTTTTAAACTCAGCAAAAATTCGGGGCACCCCAGTTTAAAGCCACGTTCACACTTTTACTGCGCATTTTGCCACGCGCCACCCCAATAATTTCAATGGGCTACCACACACGCGGCATACACGGCAAAGAAGCTCATGCACCATTTTGAGCTGTGAGCTTCACGCGGTTTATATGACCACATTTGATGCGCATTAATGCGTGGGACAAAAACGTGCTGCCTTTGAGGTGCCATTAACAGTGGCACTGCGAGCTTGTCAAACGCATGCATTACTTTTTCAGCCACAACGGTGCAATTGAATGCATTACATGCAGGATATGCATTTGTGTGCCATTTAGATGAATGCCAATGCAAAGCAACTGTGCACTGTGATGCATTTTAGCATTTGTCTGAACTAGCCCTAAGCATTCTGGCTTATCCCTCTCCCATCTCAACCTGGCTCCTCAGTCCCAGACTGAACCGTACCTCCGATATATTGGAAGACAGGATGGCTGCAGGACTTTTGGCACTGCTGGCACGTGTCACATCTGTGCCAGCACATTCTGAGGCCCTGGGTCAGTTGGGTGCCTGGCAGGACACTGGCTTGCTCCCCGGCAACCAATGATATGGTTGGTGGGCGGCCTGCACAGCATACTTTGCCAAGAATGTCTAAGCTAATGTATGCTGTGCAGGCCGCCCACCAACCATATCATTGGTTGCCAGGGAGTAAGCCAGTGTCCCGCAAGGCACACAACTGATTCCTAGCATCCAATTATGTCATCTGTTGGTACAGACATTGCCAGCAGCACCTATAGTTACGGATGACATAATCGGTTGCCATGATTGAGTTGGTGCGTTGCGAGATGCCCACTGATTACCTTGGAAATAGATATGCACAGGCTGTAGAACATTCTTGTGGAATTTTTGGATCCATTTTGCTGCAGCACCCATAATAAACTCCGGCAGCAGACCAGAGTGCCAGGGCACCCCAGTTGCTAGTCACTGGTCTAGACATAAAAGACCAGTGTAAATAAGGCCTAAAGCAGTGGTGATCAACCTTTCTAGTGCTGGGACCCCTTGGTAACATTTGCCAAGTTGTGGTAACCCCCAATGGTAAAATTTAGGGATGACGCGGCTGCTGCAGCGACATCTGGAGGCGTGGCGGGAGAACTGACACTGCTGCGCTTATGCGCTAGGAGAGGGCTGAGGAGGACTCTCACCTAGCACAGCAGAAATCACACAGCTACCCACAGGTTGAGAACCACTGCTGTAGATGAACAGTCATTGAGTAAATCAACCTGGAAGAGGCGATTTACTAAAATGTTCTTCACTTTGCCCACTGTGTTTAATTTGCTTCCAGCAGCCAGTCATGTGCTGAAATTATTTTTTTCATTTCCTTGTTCACCAATTAAGTGAGCGCAGGTTAATTGGACGCCTTTAGAAAAGTCGTTGTGCTATAATCAAAGTGATATCTGACGCTACTACCTTAAGCAACATTTTCCAACATAGCTGACTTGCTATCTAATTACCTTATACAAAAAAATAGGTTGTCACCTTTAAGCCTCCTATTACAGCAACTATATATAAATAAATGTCAGCCATATAACTTTCTGTACACGAACTGCATCATTCACAGACAGGCTTGAGAATGTTATCATTAGCTGTTGTTTTATGTGAAGCCAGGTTTTGATTTAGGTTTACTAGTCCTTTAAGTGGAATCAATGTCATCAGTTAGTCAGGTAAAACAATGTAAGGAAGTGGCGATGTGTACTTGCTCCCCTTATTACTGGAGCTGGAGATGCTGAGGTCTTAGCCAGCTGATCAAAGCCCGTCGTACACCTTCAGAATAAAAAAACAAAACAAAACAGCATAGGAATGCATAGCTACATCCCTATTGGCTATTTCACTTTGCAATAGCCAATAGCAAACTAGCTATTGCACCCGCCCTCTGCTGCTGTCAATCACCAGAAGAGGACCTGATGGAGAACTTCAGGTCCCACTCTGCTGATTGGCAGCAGCAGAGGGTGGGTGCAATAGCTAGTTTGCTATTGCAAAGTGAAATAGCTATTCGGAATCCAGCTATGCATTCCTATGGTGGGTTTTTTTCTGACTTACGGTGGCCGGCGGCCCCCGATGTCAGAAAAAAACAACGATCACAGGGAAAGGTTTACTCTGCTCGATTGAGCAGAGTAAACCTTTCCGGGAGAAAATGTTTCTCTCCCGCGGCCGCTATCTAATACTGGGAGACTCCAGGGCGACCCCTGGCAAATCGTCATTCGACTCCAATGGGGTCGCGAGCCACAGGTTGAGAATCGCTGGCCTAAAGGAAGGATTTGCATGACTCCACCCACTGCCCCCTAAAATGAGGAAAAATCCCCTTATTTTTGGTATATGTGATGGCATTAGACATCGAAATACCTCATGAAGGTTTTGTGTTCCACTAAATCTAAAATGAAAAATACTTCCCTTAAAACCGTGAGTAGGAGATACATTAATACTATAAACGTTTCCAGGTACAGAGACCCTTCATGGGACCCAAATCTCCACGGTCCACACACGGACAGTTCCCCAAAATATGCACGGGTTAAGGCGGGAAATCCTGATCTTCCCTCCATGCCCTAGCAACACTGACGTCACCGTCCTTCTTTCCAGCTCCGCTATTGGAAGTTTAGGCTAAGCGATACCGGATTGGCTGGGGGCTGTGGGGAGCGACTGTAATCGCCGATTGGCTCCCACACTCGGGAGTGTGTGACTGGCTGAGAGGGTGCGCGGGAGATTGTGTTTATCAGTGGAGTCTGCCGGCTGAGTCTATCAGGTAATGGTCAATGATTTCTGTACGGAGGGTTCTGGATGAATCTCGGGGGCAGTTTGAGGGGCCGGTGGAAGGTGGAAACGTATCTGAATGTGTATGTAGGCTGTGATCACTATAGGTTTATGCTATACCATAAAGTGTAGCATAAGTTTCTGCTGTTCCATATTACCTGTGTCACTCTGAGGTCTTGACAGCCCCTGTTATTGAAAACCACCCCACACAGCATACCTCGAAGGGCCTCATGTAAACCAGGTCGCACATTGCTTGCTTCTACTTATTAAAGTACAGCTCAAGCCAAAACTTTTTTTTCCATTTTGGATGAAATATCTTTACAAACATTATAAGACTGTGAGGGGAATGTATCAAAACTGGAGCAGACAAGATCTGGAGCAGCTGTGCATGGCAACCAATCAGCTTCTCTCTTTCATTTTCAAATCTTAACTGAACAGAGAAGCTGATTGGTTGCCATGGGCAACTGCTCCAGATTTTGTCTACTCCAGTTTTGATCAATTCCCCTCTGTGTCCCCCTAGGGGGTTTTCATTTACTTCCTTTTCTGTTGACACAACAAGAAGTGAAAGGAAATCTCCCCAAATTTAGCAAAAATGACTCGCTAGTTCACACAAGCCTGTGGATGAAAAAGCAAGTGGCAATGCATTGCACGTTCCTTGTGATATCATTCACTGTGAATGGCACCCCAGCGCACCTTTGCTGCAACACATGACTGGGAAAACGGAGCAAAACCTATATTTTTGTGTGTAAGGCTTCATTCACACTATGTGATTTGAGGTTCCTGCAACAGGAACCTATCCTGTCCAGGGACAGCGATCTATTCTAAGCCACACGTACTCATATCACATATGATAACTAGCGGACTGCTGCCTATAGATCGGGAATGGAGCGAACACATACCGGCGCTCGCTCATTTCTCGATCCTGTCCCTGCAGAGAACGGTGACTGTCAGTCACGGCTCCCTGCAGGGATTCCCCCTCCCCTCTTCAATCCTTCAGCGCTGATGGGAGGAACGGATGGGGAAGGGGGCGGGTACAGCTGGCTCTGCCTCTGGATAGGCAGAGCCCGCTGTCACTCGCGCAGCTGGGTGGATCTCGACAGCATTGTCTGGATCCGTCCGGGCTGCGGCGGTCTCAGTATACCGCAGGCTGTAGCACACGATATAATGAGCTTTGGGTGACGGGAGGACGCTAGTATATGTCCTCCTGTGACCCTTAAGAGAACCATCGGGAAAAACACCCCATAGTTCTCTTTTAACTTGAACGGGTATAGTGGCCACAGCTAGACGGGACATTGGGGATGCCTGCTGCTGGAATAATCACATAGTGTGAATGAATCATTACAGTGTGTTGCAGCCCAAACATTTTGAATGGGTTTCCTAACCAGTACATCCAGCGCACCCAAACGCCAAATGTTCTGCAGCAATCGATGGGTAAGATGGTACAAGACTCTACTACCCCCAGGACAAATGGGAGAATTCTCCCACCAGGGACAGAGACAGCAATAAAAATGGAATAGGGGGAATGTATCAAAACTGGAGCAGACGGCTTCTGAAGCACTTGCCCATGGCAACCAATCAGCTTTTTTCAGTTTTAGTTAAGCCTTGAAAATTAAAAAAAAAAGCTGATTGGTTGCCATGGCCAGCTGCTCCTGATTCTGTCTGCTCCAAATTTTGATAAATCCCCCTGAGAGTTTTTAAAAGTACAGGGTAGCCTTGACTGCATGGTGCTTTGGATTGCAAAGTCTAATCTTTTAAAGCCCAACAGAACTTTCAGTTGAAATCAGCTAAATATATTCCAGGTGCATCAAAACAAAAGATATGCAGATTCTAACAGTTTTTCTTTAGAAAGCAGTCACATCCTGTGTAGAAAAGCCTGTCCCCTGCCAGCATGCTGCAGAGAAGGACCCTTACTCTCTGTGCTGAAGCAGTTGTCTCCCTGCAGAGGTCCAACACATCCTATGCTGAGTCAGAGCTAAAGCTCTCCAATCAGACTTAAACTTTGCTGATTACAGAGCGCTAGGCCTGACTTGGTAAGGGATGTGTCAGACCTCTGCAGAGAGACCACTGCTTACACACAGGGAGCAAGGGCCTTATGTGCAGGGTACAGGATTTTCCCAGATTGTGGCTGCTTTGTAAAGAAAACAACGATTTTGCACATGTTTTAATCCACCTGGAATGACTTTAGCTGATCTAATCTTGAGATACACCAAATGCTCCATTTTTCCAATCCATTCTAAACAGTGTGGATGGGGGAGTCTTCATCCACCGGGCTATTGTATGGTGTATTGGTGCCGCTGTCAGGATGCCTGAAGAGTGACTGCAGCCCATCAGCCAATAATCTGTTCAGCCGAGACTCTTCAGACTGACTCCTTCTTCTTTGAATTTTAGCCGGGCCCTGCTGACCCCCACACTGTTTAATGGAAGTCGATTTTTCAATGGACTTTTGTTAACAGTTTAAATTGAAGCAGTGTGACGATGATGAGTCCAGACCTCACCGGCTGGGCAGACCTGCTAAGGTTTCATTGATGTGTTTATTCAGATGAATGTTTTCAGCTCCCACACATGATATAACCACCCTGGCTTTGTACGATATGCAGTATAACCTATAGAGCCGTGTTCGGCGGCAGACGGATATCAAAGCTGAGCCACCGAGATTTTTGTTTCTTCCTTTTGTCTCCCAATGATGTGACTTATGCTATTTGAGTTTTGATGTGAATTGTCTGAATCCCTTTTGAAAGGTTAATAAAAACTGATTCAACACTAAATTGAAGCAGTGTATGGGCAGCTTTAGGGCTCATGTCGATGGGTGTTGTTTTCCTGCGTTTGACTCTTTTTAGTCCAACACAGTTCTGCAAAATCCCATTGCCTTTAATTAAGCAGTACACATGGCAATTCTAAGGCTGTGCATGACCTGCTTTGTATTTCTTGCCGTGTGTCCCAATTCATGTCTAGAATGTAGATGTCACCAGCACGACAGAAGCTCACAAGTCAGTGCAAATCCATTTATTAATAGATGCCACTCAGAATAACAAGCGCTTTCGGGGGCGCACAGGGTCCCCTTCATCAGGCTCAGAGTAGAGATGTCGTGCTGGTGACATCTACATTCTAAGCTGTTTTGTGTGCGGCGCCATCCGCTGTCATTTCAAGCACCCATATACTTTTTGGGGGATTTCCGGTAAGGAGTGCTACAGGATTTATGACTTTTTTGTACCAATTCATTATTATTATTATTATTATTATTACATCATTCATGTCTAGTCGAAGACAATTTTAAAACTGGGTTGTGATTGGCTGCCATTTTTAGCAAGTACCTGAATCCTTGTTGCACATGAAAGGTGAACATAGCCTTGTAGAGCCAAAGGAAATCTCACCGCTCCAATTCCTCCCCAGGAGGACTACCTCTATGAATAAGTGTATGGGTGAAACATGTGAGAGGTTGTATCTGATTGGGGGGTTGCGGTGGTGGTATTTGCTGCTTTATACACTTTAATTCACTGTTATAATGGATTTGCTGTGAATTTCAATAAAGTCTGAAGTATTTGAATTCTCTGGATAGTGCGATCTGTTCGTATACGTGAACATATCCTTGTCACTATGAGTGTGAGAGTTTTGATCAACACTAGAAAAACTGTTATCCCTAACAAAATGAGAATATAAAACAAATGTTCTATTAGTTTTGTTGATTTATTACATTGGTTACCCTTTTTCTTTTTTAGTTTTAAAGGGAATGGATTCATCCTTTGAGACCACAACCCCGAAGTTCCCTTTTCCCTTTCCTCCTTACCCCATCCAGGAGCAGTTCATGTCAGAACTGTACCGTGTCTTAGAGGCCGGCAAGGTTGGCATCTTTGAGAGTCCCACAGGAACGGTGAGGGTAAAAACAAAGTTGTTTGACTGTCAGGTTTATTCGCAAAAGGGTGAAGGGAGGAGAAGGCAGGAGAAGTGAACAATCTAGGACAACATAGCTGAACTGGAAAGTGAGCTGAATTGTCCTAGATCAGTGGTTCTCAACCTGTGTAACCTCAGGACCCACATTTGTCCTTGGTCATTAAGTCGTGACCCAAGTCGCACTGCAATGGAATGCACTGCATTACGGTACCGCACATTCCGGTGCGGGCAATCGAACTGTGGGCGGGAGGTGCGTTTGGGGTGCTATTCAAATGAATGGCAACACAACACACCTCCCACACCAAAACACATGGTAGGTCCACCCAGTCTCCCTACCTTACAAGAACTGGAGTGGATCCTCAGCCTGCGGTCCAGTGCGGGCTGCTGTGCCGTGATGGAGCTCCATCCATATGTGCATTGCTTGTACAGCTCCCTTGTGTGCCCTGTAGAGGTGGCGGGAGCCAAAATGTGATGTCACTCCGGTCCAGGCACCTCTTTAGGACACATAAGCAACGCATGTATGGATGGAGCTCCCTCGCGGCCATAGCCCCATCCCACCTCAAGCTGACACTCGGGCATAATTTGAATGGCTGCTTGGTGCGAGAACTGACAGTGCTGCACTAGGGAGAGGCTGAGGAGCATCTCACCTACAAAAGTGGAAGGCATTTGGCGACCCACTGAACATGGGATCGCGACCCACCAGTTGAGAACCAAGGTGCTAGATTGTTCCCTTCTCCTGCCTTCTCCAAACTCTTCAACTTTCTGTGAATAGCCCTATGTGTGTTTGTGATTTCTTACCTTTTTTTTGTGCAGCCATTGCTAACAGGCAGGTATTATCCTCTCTATGGACTCATGTCAGTGTGTACAGTACTTCAGTCACAATGTCAATATAGTGCGATAAATCACCTGTGATCAATCCAAACCAGTGTAATATATCAGGCCTGCTATTTAAATATGTAAAATGCTTATGGGTGGGGTACTGAGGGGAGTTCATGTGGTTGCAGCTTATGTCATGAATGACTGTAATATACTGTGGACTTACAACCTTTTATCCTTTACAGCCAAGGAAGGTGCCATCCTAGTCTCTATTTGGATTTTAGTTGCCATGGTGCTGCACATGTGATCAGCTATGACACCACCCATTTGAGGGATGGTCAGTTCAGTTGAGAGCTGAAGTAAGCACATTGGCAACTTGGACAGTTAGCATGCCTTGAAAGTAACCATTACATTGGTGGGGCTTGTTCTACTTTAAGCCTAGCCCAATTTTAATTGTGTGTGTGTTTTTCTATTTGCAATAAAGAAATAATGTTTTCATAAATTGCATTTGTGAAATTTATAATTGCAGTACCTGAAAAGTCCCAGTTGCAATTTTTAGTTATATTCTTGTTCCAAAAGAGGTGGTGCAGTGGAGCAGACAGAATCTGGAGCAGTTGCCCATATCAACCAATCAGATTCTATCTTTCATTTTTAAAACTAAAAAAACTGAAGAAAGAAGCTGATTTGTTACTATGGGCAACAGCATAAAACTCCAGTTTTAATAAATTTCCTTGAGGAGGAATCTATAGCATATATGTGATGTGACATACATGTCATTCTCTTGATTGAAGAGCATTTCGAGCTAATGGCCGCAGCCCTGAATTATAATGTTCAGAGAAGAAACCTGGGGCTCAGAAGACTTAATCATTGTCATGGGCCAAAATGAGTTCCTCACATAACTCTCAAATCACCCTTTGAGCTGCTCAGGGATGTGCCCTACTCCACTCTCACACACAAGGTTGCAATTCTTGTTGCCATCACCTCTTTGAGGTGGGTGTCTGAGCTGGTGGACCTATCCAGTAAAGAGCCCTTTCTGGTCTTACACAGGAACAAGTTGTTGTTGAGTCTCAGAACTTCCTTCTTTTCTAAGGTAGTTTTGGCCTCTCACCTCAACCACAACGTCTCTCTTCTGTCCCGCTGTCATTGCTTGTCTATCTTTCAGCCACTGCTTCTATTAGACAGACTGACTCTCTCTTTCTCATTCCTGAAGGTCCCCAGAAAAAGGGACCCCCTTTTTGCTTCATCATTTCTCTGTGGTTTACACAAACTACCATCATCAAAACTTATGGTCTCAAGGATCAGGTACCACCCTTTCCTGTCAAGGCACACTGTACTTCTGTAAGGGATGCTTATGGCTTTTTGGCAATTGATTCCCTTCTGTTCTTTTGACCATATGTTCTCTACGTTTTAACAGGTGACTGATCAGTCCTTTTCTGATGCCAGCTTCGGGTTTAAGGTCCTTCAGGTGGTACTTTGAACTGATGGCAGTCCCTAGTCCTGTTGTTTTATAGTGGGCCTCTTAGTGTTTTGTTTCTGTTGCCCACCTCTGAGAAAGTAAATGGCATTATTATACTAATAAAAATCAATTTCTTGGAGTTCACTGATGGTCGTAGGTTCATCCACCTGTGTCTATGAGTATGGTCTTGGTACTGTTTTTTGCCTGTGTCCAATTCTGAAGGAGATAGTATAACCCCACAGTCTCTGAATGCTTGTGCCCCCCCCCATGAACTCCAATACATGGATTTTACTGTAAGTACAAAAATCCAATTTCTACTTCCATCAAAGTGAGATCAAGCATCTTCCTGCTGTTAGAATGTGTGGAACCTTTTTGTAAAGCTTTTACCTAGCTGTGCTTTAGTAGTTCTAAAATAAAAGGAAGAATGTGATTGAATGTTATGGATGGCAGAAACATCAGACTTTGTACATTGGTGGAGCCTATATCTCGATGGCTGTCCTGGAAGATTCCTGGAAACAGAGTTATCAGGTAATCAACTCATGTTTTTTTTAAGATGATCTTTTTAACGGAACGTATCGCTCTATTTCAGGGCAAGTCTTTGAGTCTGATTTGCGGCTCTCTTTCTTGGTTGAGAGACTTTGAAGAGAAGAAGCGTCAGCAGGAGGTACTGGCACTGTCTGCGGGAGATACAGAAAAGGATGGAAACCAAGAGACAGAGGACTCGACTGAACTGTTGACAACCTCATCCTCTACAGAGCCTGACTGGATCACAGAGTTCCTGCACAAAAAGGAGGAGCTGGACATCAAGAACAAGATAAGGGTAAACCACGCTCATCATTTTAATGGCAAAGCCTGTTTTCTTACACTTAAAGAGACCCTTTTATCAACGTAAAAAGCTGCACAGAAAAATCAGTTTTTTTAATTTGCAGTGTTTTTCTTTTGGTTGATATTTTAGTCACTTGCAGTGTGCCTTTGAGCTTGCAAGAAATTTTGACTACTCCAGGAAGTGTCAGTTCTCCAGCACAGCCCCCTTTGCTTGCATGTCATAGCCCTCTCCCCCTCTGTGAGTTTATAATTACAGTATGTGCTGGTTCAGCTTCTCTACCCCTTATTTCATCTCCCTACATAAACTTTTATGTAACAGCCGGGGGGATGAGCAAAGAGGAATACTATAGAGCAGGGGTAGTAAATCAAAATTCAAGGGGGTCCGGTGACCAAAAACTTTCACTGAGCCGAGGTCCAGATCGCTGTCCAGAAAGAACCACAGTCTGCCATTTAGGCTGCATTAATACCAGCAGCTGCACTGCAACACAAATTTTTTTTATGTTAGAACTTTATTGAATTGTCACAATTGACATTTCATTATGTTCTATAGGCAAAGCACAGGGTGATGTGGTTGTAATACATTATAGCTGGCTTCACTGAAAAAAGTATAGCATCCATCAGAGTGCCCCTTACATCAGTTCAATGTAAGACAATGCAAGGGGGCACTCTGATGAGAACTGATAAGTAATTGTCCCCATCAGAATGCCCCCCCTTATATTAGTTGTCCCTAGAGTGCCCCTTTAAATTGTTGCTGCAACATTAATTTGCTATGGAGCCTGAGAAACCGGGAGGAGGGGATGGGAGGTGACAGCAGCCTCAGGACTTTTGGATGTCTACACAGGGGTGTGGAAATTTTGGAAAAAACTACGTGTCCAAGGACTAAAGCGGGGGCCGAATCTACTTGTCCCTCATGACGATCTACTTGTCCTGATACAAAAAAAAATAATTTTAACCAAAACCGTATTTAGTAGTGCTAAGAAGCACTTCTCATTGGTCAGTGCCGTCAGGTGACTGCGTTGACCAACGAGTGCTTTCAATTTGCGAGCGAAATTCAGACTACATGGAACAGGTACAGATAGTACACCCGTACTGGTGGACGGGAAGGACCGTTTGCTGAAAGGTAAGTATAGTGGGAGGGAGATTTGAGCGAGTAATTCCATTTTCCCAAATTACTTGGGAAAGTGAATATACCCTTTAGGGTTGGTTCAGACTTGGGGATTCCCAGTACATGCGATCGTGTGCGGTTCGGTTGGATACAGCGGTTGCATCCGCATGCATGGGGTTACATCTGCGTGGCAATCGCTGAAAAAAAGGTAGATGTACCTATTTTCACGACATGCACCGCACACTGTTTTCAACCGTGATCGCCCGCGGCGGTATTGCAGTAGGAAAACGCGCAATCTGCCTGGCTTTTTTAAATTGACAGAGTAAATCATGGATGAGAAGTTGGAACAAAGAGTAGTAATTGAGTTTCTGATCCCCCCCCCCTCGCTCCGTCACGCCCTCTGCTCCGTCCCCATTTCATTCAACGCTTCGTCCCCGCCCCCTGCTCTGTCCACGCTCTCGTCGCTCCACGCCCCCCGCTCGTAGCGCCGCTTTCGGCGCTCAAAGAAAGCCAGCCCTGCTACTTGTCCGTAGCAGGGCTAAAACAGTGCAAAAACCACTTGCCCAGTGCCCGGAACTACATGTCCCGGGCGTCGGGCGATACGAATTCCACACCCCTGCTACACAAGAGAGACGTTTTATGGGTAACTAACATGCCTAAAATATGTTAAAGGAGAATTATGGTGAAAGTGAAATACATTCATCCTCATATGTAGAGCCAATGTGTGACACTGAATCCGTGAAGGGAATTCTCCCCAATGGGCCACAAATGGCAAAAAAAGCTGACAGGAGTTATAACCTTTCCTTTTTTTTGATCAATAACCTTTTATTTAATTTTTATTGATATTACACATAGCAGATTTCAATAAAACAAAAAGCAGAAAGACAAAAACCCCAATACAGAACTAAACTACAAAAACAGATAATTTTCCCTCTTTTTTTTTTTTTTTTGCAAGGGGTAAGAATAGAGTGGGGAGGGGAGAGAAGGAAGAGGGGGGCATGGGGGGTAGAGGGGGGAATCTACCACAGGTGTGAGGGCAGGAAAAGAGGCAGGACAGAGATGTAGGTAAGCAATATGAAGCAAAGGGAACAAGGTCAGGTGAGAGGTACCTGGACCACGATGGGGGGTACTATGGCAGGCACGCGGCCTAAGCAATCGCAAAACTATACTCTCCGATCCGAGGATGGGAGAGTACCACCTATTGGGGGCAGGTGGAGTGGACTAAGCAAGCGAGAGGAACCTCGGGGAGGTGCAACCACTTGTACAGGACAAATGAAATTAAATTGAACAAATGCATAACATAACAATATAAACGTAAACGTGATGCTCAAAAATCTGTCAATAGCGAAGGAGGAGGCATTTACTGACCCGGTGGCTCCCCTCATCTCGCTCCGCGACAGCCCCCCCTATCACCCCTCGGGGCGAAGAAAGTAGGGTGCACCGGAGAGGAAGAAGCAAGTGGAGTGGGAGCCGAGCCCCCCCCCCAAAAAAGAGAGGGGGGCAACGCTCCCAGCCCACGACAAAACGAGCCGCCAGTCGCCAACATATCTCCAAACAGCCGGGCATAAACACGGAGGAGTAATCGTATTGTGTGAACTATAACAATATCAGGCAACGGTAAATCAAACATAAAGCAACCATAAACAGAACCTCCGAAGAGGAGCAGAAGGCACTCAGGGACCGTTTCCTGTCACTGCCATCGCCATCCCCCGCAGGAGGAGAGCCTAGAGGGGGGGCCCTAAAATAGCAGGGGAGCAAAAAGGTTAGTCACATAGGAATGTACAATAGTGAGATGTTAAAGGCCCTTAAGGTGAATGTCTGCGGGGGAGGGGAGGTATGGGGTCCTCAGTTCCAGCAGCGAAGGATACTAGCAGGTAGTTCAAGGCTCCCGGCCCACCGGGAGCAATGCTGGCGGCTGCCGCAACGTTGGGCGCTGCTGGTGTCCTGCTCCTCGAGGAACCCGCAAGGATAGACCGGCCGCGGAGGAGCGCGTGAGCGCCATCTTGGAGGCCGTCGCGGGATCCGGGATCGATGGTCTGCGGGCAAAGAAGTCGTAGATTGAGGCACTGGGGGGGTCACCGTGAGTACCGTATGCTTTCGGCTCCTTGGCCATGGAGAGAGTGAGCGGATAGAGTCGGCTAAAACGTATGTCCAGTTCAGTGATCACAGAGCTCCCCTAAAGCATGTCTTCACGGCGCCATGTCCAGGCCACGCCCCATTTTCCCTCATTTTATCCACTTTCTCTCTTTTCTGTTACATGGAGGATGAAAGGACTGAGATATCGATGACCTTTTCCTTTCTCTGTATCTCACTCCTTTACCTAATTGTCAGTTCGGATTCCAATTTCTAAATATTTTGATATTTGTGGCAAGTTCAAGAACTCTTTCCATGGGCCCACATTTTTTCACATGGCTTACTCCATTCCTTTACTCTGGCAGATAATCCTTCCATATGCATTGTTATAACCCTCCCTTACTCCATCCAAAACTAAAACCAAAATTGTTGTCCCCACTTCTCCTGGAAATGCACATATGAGAAGATTTTTGTAGAAATCAATGCTCTGGCCACAGGGCCTCCTTGAAGTCATCCTCTCATTACATAACAACAGTTTCAGAAACCAATGTAACTGCAGAGTAAGAATGTAAATACTTACCTTTCCCGCTGCCTATGTCACCAGCATGCTGCTCTGTTCAGTATAAATCCTACTCTGTAGGCTTTAGGGAAACTGATACTTCTATGAGTGTCCATCTTCTGGGTTCCCTGCAGCTCTCACTGGTTCCTCCTGCTGTCCTCCACGTCATTACATTATTATCATTACATTATACATTTATGATTAAGTCTTTATTGGGTGAAATGTGTCAGTGAGAGGGTCCCCGGTGGGGATTAGTATGGGTTTTATGATGGTTCCTGGTGTACATAGTTTTGCTTCTCTTACACTGTGGATTGTGAGCAGAGACAAGCTTGGGACCGGTACCCATGGTAGGAAGCCGAGTCTGAATTGCCTTTTAATTTCCGAAAATGCTAATTGCCTGGCACCCATGCTGACCTTCTGGCTTACATACACCTTTATTCGACAGAACAAGCATGCAGAAAAGGAGTTCTTACACTTCTGACCTTTTGTAATCTGGATGTTTGTGTCGGGGTTGGCGATTTATAGAAGTATTGAAGTCGGCGGGTTAGCAGAATAACCAGGCAACTAGCGTTTTTACAAGCAGGTCAGCAATGGCAGTTTCAGATTTCTCTCATGACTTGACTTCACTTTTGGCAGGTTTCGGGGCTTGCAGTACTTGGTATCAGTCAGCAGGTGGTGCTGTTCTCCTTTAAACAAGCCAGCGAGCCTTAGGGAAGTAGGGAAACCATTTTTTCATCTTACTATAATAAAAGGAAGCGTTATTGAGTTTTGTGAATTGACTACCTTTACACAGCAACTATATAACAAGCGATATCAATGAAATAACGGCCGAAATGAAGAAAATAAGCTTTGTGAATTGACCCCAATGTCTGTACGTTAGGGATGGACAACATAATGTAGAAATCAGCCTAAATAGCAAGATCTTTCAGGTCTGTTCATCCCATGTGTGTATTTCTTTTTTTTGGTTCCTTGTTGCATTTTGGTGACAGTGTACCACAATGCACAGGTGCATTTTTTTAACGGTTTGTGTGTTGGGGTCCAATTCAGAATAATTGTCAAGGCATAAAAACCGCTTGCTTTAACACCTGTTAACAAAGACAGAAAGGTGTGAATGGGCCCCTACTGAATAGTTGTGGGAAGGAACAAAAAAGCAATCCCTTCTGGCACAACTCTACAAGTAGTTCATAAAACTTTATTTCACATATTTTATGATTGTGTTCTGTAGACATTGCTTAGCCCATTCCAGTGCAATGGCTGGAATCTTTCAGCTTGAGTAACCATTTGAGTCCCTGGGCATTTATTTTCCTTGAATCACCAAGTCCCAAAGAGTTGTTTTTTTTTTGGCAATGTCTCTGTTCTGCACATTGGGAGAATTTATCAATTTGGTTGCATCATCAGCATCTTTTAAACAGTCGCATCCCTGATTTCTAGTGCATATAGGGACATATTTATTCTTTTAGTTTATGTTTCATTCTTAAATGTCTTTTTAAGGAGAACAGACTCTACATTTTCTCTAAACTGTAGCCAGCCTGCAGGGAACTTCCAGAAAGTGCTTAGCTGACTTGAGGCAGTGAAACTGAATTATCTTTGCAATACTTTAAGAGATGCTCTGGAGGACTTCTAGAACGTGCAAAGTTTGCAGGGTTTTTAATGGCGCAAATGAATGATGCAAATACTGGGCAGATGAGAAATTATGCAAAATGTCGCAAAATATGTGCAGTGAGACACAAACATGAATTTATCACCAGAACACATATCGAAAAAGCCGCATAACAGAGATAACATTTTGTGGTTAGTTAGCATGAAATTTTGTTCTTTGTGACAACAAATTTTTGTCGGAAGAGAATAAGGAAGAAGAAGCTGTCTGCTGATGACTTTTTTTTTGTGGGTTTCTATTTGCTTGGGACCAAGTGCTGAGACTGGGGAAACAGTGCAAGAAGGAGCCAGGTAAGTACTACTAACTTTAGTAGGTTTACCCAACAGGCTGCACTTTTGCAGGTTTACTAAGGAGGGGGCTTTATTTGATAGCAAATTTGAATATACAGTGAGGAAAATAATGATTTGATCCTCTGCAGATTTTGTAAGTTTGACCACTTACAAAGAAATGAAAGGTCTATGATTTTTATCATAGGTGTACTAAATGATAGAGACAGAATATTAGCTTTACTTTAATTACTTTAATTGTGATAGCAATTACTTTAATTGCTATCACATAGGGGGGCTTACAAGCCCCCCATGTGATAGCAGATTGGTGATGACAGGTACTCTTTAAGGTGATGCTGGGGGTCCAAAAGACCCCTAGTATCACCTTTTACACTTGAAATAAGCTATTGAATTGCAGATCGCACTTCAATAGCTTATTGCTGGGCTGCAGGAGCCCAGCACTGACAGCTATGGGACCGGAAGTGATGCAATACGCGTCGCTCCCGGTCCCATAGTACGGGGAGGAAATCGGTGAACGGGCCCGTTTACTGGCCCGGAGAAGCGATCTGGCAACAACTGAGCCGCCAGAATGGCTTCTGTTGTAAAGCCGACAGTCGGCTTTACAAATGTAAACAGAGTTGCCGGGAGTCTGTTTAAACAGGCCCGGTGCCAGTGACGTACTATGGACGCCACTGGTCACTAAGGGGTTACATTTACTTAATCTCTGCAATCAGGGTTATTTTTTGGTTATGTGTTATTTATCTTGATTGCAGAGGTACAGTCTCCTCACTCAAGAGAGATATAGATGCTTGTTTGCAAAGGTCTTTTTTCCGTGATCTGTTAGAAGAACTAAGACCCTTCTTTCTGATTGTGCACCTTCTGATTTTTGTACTTGTGTTGTACTGAGTTATAGGATTTTACTCCACCTTTTACTAGGGCCCCAGGCAGGTTTCACATTCTCATACAAGTCTACGGGAATGTAAAACTGCCTGAAGCAAGTCATTTGCAGGTAAAATGCACCTGTTGGGTCATTTTGAATGATCTCCGCAGTGCCTCAAACTGATGCCATCAACACAAGCCTGTCGACAGTCCTCAGCTGAGCGTGACCTCATTGACCAACTGCATGGTGCGGGACTGTGCAAATAATTTTCAGGGTGTCTGAATTTCATTCATGCGGCCAGTGTAGATAGGTAGGTAGGGTCTCTTTTGAATGAAAAACTTTTTCCATAAAAACATTATTTGCACCTATTTCCAGTGCCAGACTACAGCCTTACCTGTATGTAATCCTGCTTCATGTATGGGACCTGTCACAACTGTAATGTGGAGGCTGTAATTGTTGACTTGTTTTTAAAAGCTCCAGAGCTGTCATAGTCATTTTTGCTTCACTGGTTAAAGTGGATCTGCCAGTAACTTTTACAAGCCCACATGAATAAATTTGAATACATTCTTAACATGTTAGAATGTACAGCAGTTGTGCATTTCTATTCAGAAAAGCTCCACTTTTTATTGTTAACAATCCGTCCTCGAGCTGCAGTCAGCGACTTGCCTAGGCTAAGATGATGTCACCGGTTTTGCTGCAGGCAAGAAAAAGCATTTCTAAGTCTGCACTTCCTTAATCGCCATTTCCTTAGTCTTAGGCTGCAATATTTTTACTTTGTAGAAAGTTAAAATGCGAGAGGCTACAGCAGGGGCTGATCTTTGTCAGATATTTGAGAGTCAGGAACTACACAGGCACCAGGATTTAAATGATTGTGTTATCTTTGAGCTGGCATCTCAGGCCAGGAAGTAGATGGTGACCCTGAATGATACCTAATCAAAGATGGCTCCGTCCTTCTGGAGAGAAAATCAGATGAAGGCATTGTCAGGGGGAGTACTGTGATCGTTGTGAGGCGTAATAAATACTTGAAAGTGTTACATTTACCTATCACTTAGCATCCTGCACTTCTCATAAAAAGATATATCAGAGGTCCACTTTAACGAGGTAAGGAGTTAAAATAAGTACGCAGGTTCTGACTTCAGTGCCTCTATGCTTATTCTGACTCAGTAAGTCATAAAGCAATCCAGAAACCTTCACGTTTAATGACAAGTTTAGCAGTTTCCATTCCCATTATTCTGCTCTGACAGGTGCCCTTTAAGTGGGGAGCGAGTTAAAAATAAAGCTGTGGTATGTTAATTGGAATGTCTTTTGACTTGTGTCACGTTTTGCTCTTCTTTCGGCATCCTCTTCCCTTTCTGCCAGAGGAGGTCTCTGTTATAAAGTTATACATACATACGTATAACTGAGGAGGTCTCAGTTATACGTATGTATGTATGTATGTATGTATGTATGTATGTATGTATGTTTATATATAAATAGCACATTTTCTTTGTAAAATGGAAACAAAGCATAATCATAATATCATTTTACAATTTTTTGTTTCTGCTGCAGCTTGGTAACACTTACTGGTCTTGTCCCTCCCCCAGCCTGTGCCTGGACAGTGAAAGGAGAAGCAACAGACTGATAGCTCATCTCTCTGTCACTTTGCCCTCTCCTTCTACCAGCATGTATTATATGAGCACTACACCACAATGGATTGGCTCCTTGTCCTGCTACTCCTTTACCCAGCCTGAGCTCTGCTGTTCAAGGACTTTGATAGAATAATATCAAGTTAATATCAGGCACTTACACTGCTTGCAATTAAAAAATAACATTATTTAAGTATGCAGAGCTGCATTAATTTGTGTCGCTTATGTCTGCATGAAGTTCAACTTTAATTTATTTTGCCTGATTAAAGTGAATCTAAAGTCTATACAACATGGTTACATGCCCTCAGTATGTTCTAGTAGGAACTCTCAGGCTTCTTGTTATCTGACCCTGGAGCCCCAAATCCCAGGTGACTTCTGGTATGCTTATATCAACTTTCCCGATTGAGAGCCTGGCCCTATTCATCTGCTGATCTTCACTATTGGCTGACTGGGTTTCCTATCACAGTTATGGACCGATAGCAAGACACAAAATGTATGAGGGGTATGGCTAGGCTTTGCAGCAAGAAAGATGATCTTTGCCTGCCACAGTGCTCCTGCAGGGCTGCTAGTACCTAAAGGGGTGCCTAAAGTTAGTGCAGAGGTGTGGTGGCACATTACTATGTTTAACCCCTTAAGGACCAGTGACGTCGATAGTATGTCACTGGCACCGGGCCCATTTAAACAGACTGTTTACAATTGTAAAACCGACTGTCGGCTTTACAATAGAAGCGATCAGGCGACTCAGCTGTCGCCCGATTGCTTCTCCAGGCCAGTAAACGGGCCGCCCGACACCCCCGCCGTGTTTCCCGGCCCCGTTGCCCCTCCTATGGGCCCGGGACCGGTTTTTAAAAGTCCCCCGCCTCCGCGAGCACGCACGTCACCACGTACACACGCGTCGGGTGCACCTACGTATAAAAACGACGATCGCACTACACATGTTGGGTATCGCCACGCATTTAATGGTGTTTTGGGCACATAAGGGCATTTTCACTGTATTTTGGGGTTTGATAATAAGTTGCGCTAATATCGTGCAACATAAAAATGTTAAACTGCCAACATTTTATTCTACAGGATCTCGGCTTTCAGAAAATATATAATGTGTGGGGGGGTTGAAGTAATTTTCAGGCCTAAAATGTGGATTTTATCATGGGTAAAAAAAATGAAAAAAAGGCCTCAGTCACTAAAGGGGTTAAAGTACAACTTTTTGTGAACCTGTGCTTTATGTCACTGTGTAACCCAGCCTACACAGCCTTGTATTGAACATGTCTCACACTGGCTCATCTTTATATTGCACACGACTCCGATTATTCTTATGGAAAAACTGTACCCTGCCGAGTAACTTAAGGCCTCCAAGTGAGGTTATTTTTTTAAACTTGACCCTGTATATATTTTTTATAGCAGCATATGCTAAGATAATATTTTGTTAGTTAACAAAAGGAAAACATTCTTGTATATTTGGGTACAATCAGTGCAAAGGTTATTGGCTTCTTGCTAGCATCCATGCAATTATTGTTTATTTAGGAGGATCAAATACAGCGGAAGAAAAAAGAGGAAAGACTGGAGCAGATGCGACATAACATTCAATTGAAGTTTGCATCAAAGAGAAAGGTAAGAGCTTTAAGAGAATGGAAAAAACTTGAACTTTACTGCAAATCTCTAAAAAAAAAACAAAAAGGTTAAAGGAAATAGAGTTGTGATGTCTGTTACCCGGAAAAGATGAGTTTTCATCCAATAATAAAGGCTGCCATGGCTTAGCACCTGGAAGTAGTGCTGCTTGCAGGGCACATCTCAGTAGTTTTATGGCTTGTGATGTTACCTTCCACAACTAGCACAGCTTCTAGATGTCAGACAATGGGAGCCTTTTTTTTTGATAGTGTGGGGATCTTTTTTTTGATTTCTTGTGCAGATAGAAAGTTAATGGAAATCTCTCTAACAGGAACTCAGGCAAGAGCTCCATAGAGTGGGGACGAGAACATCTGACAGCGTTTATATTGCCTTCCTGTCCCACTGACAAAGAGAGTGCAGGAAATTAGCAGCACTAAGATGCAGCAAAGGATGAAAACAGTATTTCTTTGTTGTCCTTTGAGGGACACAGAACGTCATTAACTAATGTCGTACAGGAGGATTGGACACAGAAAAAACACAGGAATCCTTTCCTATTTCCAGCTGAGTCTGGACCAGAATTGGCCTTTACTGTTGTCCCCTCCGTTCGTCTGACCCTACACCTGTTGCCAGTGGTTGGGTTTATTAATCCATCAGTCTTTGCCTCATACACTGAGTTATGTTGCCTTACCACCCTGCAGTTGCAACATGTCTGATTCTAGACACTGGGGGTACAGTCCTGCTGTGCTGGGTGTCCCCAGCTCTCACCCCACTAACCCTGGCAGCATGGCTTTTGATTTGGCTGATGTGTGCAGCCCGGAATCTTTGTGCCCTCTGCCCCTAGAGTCTTTGTCATTTTCTGAGTCTTCCAAAGATGCGTCTGTTGAGGCTGCCTCTTCTCCTCTAAGGTAGTTTTTACTTCCGCCACGCATAACTTTATGGCCCAAATTGCTCAGTTGTTTGCTGACTAAACGCAGAGACCACAAGTACACTTCTTCTTCCCCTGCTGATTTTATATCTGATCTGTTTGCGGCTTTAGAAGCCTCCGATCTCTCAGCCGGTTAGACTCTGTCTGATGCTGAGTGTATCCAGTCTTTGCTGGATGAATCTGCCGATTTGACTCTTATTGATGCAGTGCACACCACCTTGAAGCTAGAGAATCAGCCTGCCACGTCTACCAGCTTTCCCCAATCTTGGTTCTTTTAGAGCTCTTAAGGCCATTAAGACCATTCCAGTGCACCCGCTGTTCCAGGTCTTCCTTTATGGAGACTGTAGACTTCCTGAGAAGTTGTTTGTACCTCTCAAGCGCTTATCATCTGTACTCCTGTGAGGAGGACTTTGTCAAAAGGTGTTCTACCACCTCTGGATCCAGCAGTGCCCCCTCTTAACAACATGCCCACTATTTCAGTGGAAGATGCACTTGTCTCCAAGTACCCCACGGATAAGCGATTGTAGGCACTATAGAGCCTTGTGTATTCCCGCAAGCCCTGCTCTGCATCTTGTTTAGGCTGTGACATTGATCTGTCAAACCTTCACTGACCGGTCTAAGGTTACTAGAAGGGACCTGATCACTACGGTCATTGAACCTTTGGAACAAATGGCTTTAGCTTTGAACTATAGCGTTACTGGGCTGTTGGAGGTTTCCTGTCTCATTTTCGTCATAAGATTCCTACCGGTTCAAATGCAGAGAACACTTTGGCTAAAGCGTTGGCCTGCATCACCCGCATCTGAGAAGAGCTTACTCTGCAAGGACTTTGTGGGACAATGTCTCTGGGTCTACTCTGGCCACCATCTCAAAGGACTCCACAGGTGGCAAGAGCCCCCATATTTCTCATCCAAAGAAGCCTAATGTCTGGGAAGTCTTATACCTTGCTGGAGGTCAAGAAAAGTCCTTTTCGTTATTTCACAGCCTTCAAATTTTAAGGTCTAAGCTGAGCTCTCACGCTTCCTGCATGCCCTGGAATTCTAAGTCTGTCAGAAATCTTGTGCAGCATGAAGTTGAGGGCAACGTCTGTTAGCCTTTGCGGACATTTGGATGGCTTGCATCTCAGATGCATGGGTGCAGGTGGTGGTTTCCAGGGGCTGAAAGCTAGAGTTTCACTCTCAGCTCCCTCCTCAGTGTGTTTATTCCAACCTTCCTTTGTCACCGCACAGGTTAGCAGGTCTTCTGGATCAGGGTGTATTTGCCCCAGTCCCTGTGGCAGAATGGTTTCATGGATTGTACTCCAATCTAGTTCCCAAACCAAAAGGGGGGCATTCACCCCATCTTGGAACTCGAAGCTCTAAATGTCTTTATTTGGATGTAGAAATTCTGCATAGAAGTGAATTCTTCTACTGAGGGAACAGTCTACAAAGGTTCTGGCAGACCATGTAGCCCTGACCGTCAAGACCTTGCAGAGTTTTAGATGGATCCTGAGCCTTCAGAAATCAGAGCTGGAACTGACTCATCACTGGAAATATCTAGGTTTAGTCCTAAACACAGCTCAAGACAGTTTTTCTTCTCCGGTAGAAACTTCAAGCCAGTTTTATCTTAGGCCCCTACAACACAACATTCTGTTGTTGTGGGACAAGTCAGTCAAGCCCTTGCACATAACAATTCATCTGGCACCAAGGACCAGGTTGTGTCTGACTTCTTATCTTGCTCTGGATTTGAGGCCTTCCTTCCTGTGTTTTGGAAAATCCTTTCCTCCCCTGAAACCCTTTCCTTGTCTGTTTCACAGGATCAAGGTGGAGGGCATTCCAGTTACCCTTTTAGCTTCAGGTTAGCCCTGGCAGATGTGGTACTCCAGCCTTATCAGACTCCTGGCAGACACTCCATGGGCCCGTACAGTTTTAAGGACCAATTTACCATTCTGTTTCAGAGTCACTGTCCCAAATGGTATGGCTGTTGAAGCCCAAGTTCTGGAGGACAGGGGCATCTTTGAATCAGTCATCACCACGTTGCTAAAAGCTAGGAAGTCTTCTTCTCGCAAGGTCTATCACCATACGTGGAACACACTTCACTTGGTGCAGGCGCAAGGCTTTTACTCTAGGAAATTTTCTGTGAGACAAATCTTTTCCTTCTTCCAACTGAGTCTGGGCCAGAATTGGCCCACTGCACAATCACTTCTGGCCATACACTGTGAATTGAACGAGAAAAAAACTATTGTTTCTCCCATCTATGCTAACAGCATGAATGGAGTAATCACCCTACTGGTCTATTGTATTTTGACAGTGGCATACCAGTGCTGTCAGAATATCTAAACAGTTAAATTTGACCAGTGTATGACCAGCTTAAGTATCAGGTTTCTGCACTTGTTCCAGAGACCATTGGCTTCTCATTTGTTGATTACGTTTTTTCATGCAGGCCCCCCAGCCCCCCCCCCGTTCATTCCCTAGTGACTCTGTGGGATCTGAATTTAGCTCTCTTGGCGCTTCAAAAGCCACCCGTTGAACCCATCAGGGAGATTCCGCTTTCCACTCTTGCCCATGAAGTGGTGTTTTTTGTAGCCATCACCTTTGTGAGGCTAGTGTTTGAGCTTACAGCCCTATCTCGTAAAGTACCCCTTGTGGTCTTGCACAAGAACAAAGTGGTGTTGAGGCTCAGCACTTCCTTCCTACTAAGGTAGTTTTTGGCTCAACCACAAGATCGTTCTTTCAAATCTCTTCCTGGCTCCAGTTACATCAGAAAGGCTATTTCCTCCAATGTCTGGATGTGGTTCTGGCTGTGAGAGTCTGTTCTAAGCCACTGCTTCCTTCACAAAGAGCTAGCTCTTTGTCATTCCCGAAGGTCCTACCGGTAGTAATGGTGAACCACCTCCTGGTTTCACCATTTCTTGGTGGCTTAGATAGACCATTATCCAAGCTTATAATCTTAGGGACTGGGTTCTACCCTTTCTTGTCAAAGTGCCTCTTGAGATTTTCAGCATCTGGTGGCTGTTTCTTAAATTTGCAAGACTGCCAACTGGTCTTCTGTTCAAACGTTTCCCAAATTTACCAGGTGGATGTTCAAGTCAAATCTGATGCCAGCTTCAGATGTAAGGTCCTTCAGGCAGCTCTTGGAGCATCAGAGTGTCCCCAGTTCTTTTGTTTTTAGTGGGCCTGTTAGCATTTTGTTTGCTGTGATGCCTACCCCTCAGTTGGACTGCTTTGGGACATCCCAAAAGTTAATGACTTCCCTCAATGGATCAGAATAAAATAGGATATTACTCACTGTACTCACAATAAAATCCTTTTCTTGGAGTCAATTAAGGGACTCCGGTCCCACCCCTCCTGTGTTTATGGTCATGCTCTTGGTAATGCTTTGCTACAAAACTGGAGCATGCTGGTAGTAGGAGTGGTTCTCGTGTTCTGATCTACAATTTTGTTGTTTGTTTGCCTGTGTCCTATCCTTCTGTAGGTACTGGTAAAAAATGTTAGTTAATGACCTCCTGTGTTCCCCAATTAACTCCAAGAAAGGGATTTTTCAATGAGTACAAATATCTGTTTTTTTATAAAAAAAAAAAAAAA